GGTCGACACACTTTGAAAGTGCCGCACTGGCAGTACACGTCCTTGCTTCACAAAATCAATCCAGCATCGTGCCAGTCTTGCGTGGGCCTTCCCCAAGTCAATGAAGAATCTTCCAGACCGCGAGTGATCAAGAAGAAAGTCTCCAAACGACGCGTGGTGGAATCGCCAGTCGTCTCCGTCGTGACGTGGCATGTGAATGACGGCATGCAGGTCACTCAGTATGAGCTGCACGTCCCCCTCCTTGTAGGCGAACAGATCCTCTGCGAGCCGTAATGTGACTTGATAAGGAGAATAAAATCCCACCGTCCCGCTTGAGTTATAAATCAGCATGAGGCCTAGAAGTTCGAGAACCTTCTCAATGTCATGGACTGAGGAGAGAATGTAGCCGTATAGAGCATCCAGTATGGAGAAGGGAGAATCATTGGCCGACGGAGATGTCTGCAATACTCCGAGAACAATGTCGAGTCTCTCAGTGGGTCGATGACGAGGGGATTCTATGTACTTCATAACCGTGGATGCATAAATGAACTGCCCGTCAGCTTTGGAAACAAGGCGTTTCATATCGCGTTCGCCCGGCCATGTCGAAGGAAGGTAACGCGTCAAAGGATGCGTCTTTTTAATGTCGTCGAATTTGGATTGTAGAAAGGTTTTGATATCTTCATCCGCCTTGTACAAGACGTCCAGAGGCAAACCTCTTGTCATCGAGGAGAGATTCCCGGTATTAAAAGCATCGCGAATCGGTTGTTCCGATCTGCTGGCGACCAGAAAGCGAAAACAAGGCCCCAATTGATGAACAGACTCCACGAGAACTTTGAGAATTTGCTGCTGAGAATCGGCTAGGCCACACTCATCCAAACCGTCGAGGATGACTATTTGTGGGCGTATTTTGCGCGCTTGAGGGTTTCCCGCATCGGCCACCACCAGATCATTGAGAGGCGTAACAACGAGTGTCTGCATTTGGGTAGATAGGGCTCGGGAGAAAATCAGAGGATCTCGTTCGATAGCGGCAACAACGCTGTCCTTAATCGCTGGAATTGATAGCGAAAGTTGATAGGCAAGCGTCGGTATGAGATGGGTTTTGTCATTACGACGAGGGGCCGTGCGAGAAAAGAAGAAGGTTGCGGCAAGAACCCCAGCCCTTTCGCACATCTCTGCGATGGTCTGTGCAATAGCGGACTTGCCGGCTCCTGCAGGCCCGTAAAGCCATATAAATGTCGACCAAATCACAGGAGTCAGGACCCAATCCATGATGTTCTTCAGGACGGCCTGGCGTGTATTCGGGTGGCATTTTGGTGGCTCGTGTCGCTCGTCAGAGTTATGGAAGGCACCAGGTGCGATGTTTTGCATGAGTAAATCCCATCCTGTTATGATTCCTTTGAGATCAGGCATGTTATTAAAAGGCAGAAATTGTATCACATACCGCTCGGGCGCCAATCCATGGTATGGGAATGAAGGTGCACATCTCCATGTTCTGTAGACGTAAATGTGCCTCCTGTGATCAGAATGTTTCGCTCAGAAAAGGTTTGGCGAGAGTCGCGAGACTTCTTTATGTTGAGAGGTAGCGGCGCGGAAAGATGAGGAAGAGATGTAGGGTCCAGATCAGAATGAGGATGAACTAGTGGAGGTATTGCGTTGTAAACGGAGGGTTCATCAGAACTGGCGGGATGCGAAGCAACATTGGGAACATGTTTGTCCGTGGGAATATAAGGAGCTGGAGGAATTTGAGGTAACGGGCGCCCTGGCCTTGAAGTAGAAGAAACGGATCCCGATGGACTGGATGTGTTCTTGGAAGTTGTGCCGTTCCATATGGCGTGCAAATTGTGCATGTTCGCTATACGGATAATGAGCTTCCAGACAATAAAAGACGGAACAAGGCGAGACAACCTGAGAGTTAAAACCTGAAGGCCTGACAAGCAATATGGCCAGAAGATTTGGTCGCAGTGATTGGAGCTGGGGGATCATTCGACAGCTTGAACATGAGAAAGCTTGAGGTAATAGGTATGTGGTTGTGATCGTCACGTTATTCACGTACAGCCTCCACTCAGTTTCACACCATCACAGCCCCGTCAGATTGGACGTCAGGTTACAGATACAAACAGCCTCTCCATATCTGCAAAGAGTCAGATGTTACTTTGTGCGCTTCAAGGACAATCACGGATGGACTAGAATTTTAACTAAAGGTCGAGTTTCAGAGAAAAGCGCAAAAGGTGTTTGTCTGTGCATCTTACCTTGTTTATCCTTCTGATGTAATAAGGCCATGATCCCTTGTTCCACTACATCTTCGATAGCAATCTTCCTTGTGATTAAGTCTTCGATTCCAGGGATTTTCCCTGCAGCCACAGCCTCCAGCACTTCAGGGTGTATTCCGCTATATGCAATTGTACCTACGGTATTCCGAGTCAAGAAAAATGAGGCAGCGACCTCGGCGACATAGAACTTTTGAGACTGACCAGTGACAGTTATCTCTCTCATGAGAACGAGGTTCATGTGTACTCGCGGGATCTCTTCCCAGATGGAGACGTTGACAAATGTGCCTCGCGGACGTATGCTCAGCAATGCGGAGTCGAGACTTGCCTGAATTCCCGCTGCATCAAAAGCGACATCCACGCCGAGGCCGTTAGTGGCTTTCAAGACTGCAGTTGGGACAGTATCGGGGGAAGGAGAGCCAGAGTCCGAAGGACTAAGTGGGTCGGTGACATTCGTGGCACCGTGTTTCAATGCGAGTTCACGTCGAAGCAGTGCGGGTTCAGAAACGAGTATGGTGCTCGAAGGGTCAATTGTCCTACATCATTGCAATATGATTAGAGCCGTGCACCTGTTTGAATAACATGAACACACCTCAGGACCTTGAGAAGGAATAAACCAATCTGATGCAAGAGTGAGTACTAGACAATGACGCGAGGTAATAATATGTGGTTACATACCGGACCACCGCCAACGATAAGTGCAGTTTGGCCTAGCTTAAAGCCAGATCGCTTCACGGCATACCAGGCAACAGCGAGAGGCTCGATAGTCGCCCCAACCTCGACTACGAATCGCGTAAGCGAAGGCTATCAGGTATAAGAAGAAAAAACATACGCGATATTCCAGGAGGTAGGGCGTGGAGATAGTGCGTGTCTACAGCAATGTACTCAGCAAGTCCTCCGCCCCATCCTCCGATTCCCTGAAACAAAAGAAATGAGGAGGACCTCAAGGTTCATAAACTAAGAAAGAATACAGACAATAAAGTTAGCAGAACGACAAAGGTTCCTTGTTCCAGACGCGCAGAACATGCAGGAGTCTGTCTTGAGACAGGATATGACCGGTTCTCTATCACATCGTCTCAGCGCACTCGAGGAGACGAGGAGAAGTAGGAAGTTTACACAACAACATTCTGGCCAACTTTCCATTTGCCTTCGTCCACGCCACTGCCCAAGCCTACGATAGTTCCGGAAAATCTAACATGTAAAAGTTTCAGTTAAATGTGAAAGTCCGAATACAAGGTAACGCACTCGTGGCCCAGAGTGATGGGAAGAGTTTCTCCAGTCAACTCGTTAGGTTCTGTAGCGGTTGGGAACTTTGGTACTGTAGCCAGGTAAGCGTGAAGATCACTTCCACAGACTGCTCAAAAGCAATGGGTAAGAAGAGTAGACAGTAATGCCAGCTTTTAGCGTACTTCCGTTCCTGAAAAATATATGAGATCGAGAGATGGGTTAATCTATAATAGAGGACATACCACGCAATCTGTGGAGAGATTGAGTTTGCAGCTGATGAAGGGGATGACCGAGCATTCTAAGCCCTTACCTTAATCTTCACTTGACCATCTTTCGCGTCAGGCTCAGGAATCTGCTCTACTCTGATGTCTCCCGGACCATAATATCTTGCTGCTTTCATGATGATCTGTCTGATCCAAGATGATTTGCGCCGGCGAGAGGGTGTCGAATATGATTTAGAAAGGGGGTGCAGATCGAAGCAGCGTTATTTAAAGGATTGGAATCATGAGCTAAATAGGTTCGTGGTTCGTATTTCATAACTTAGAATCCCCCGTGGCGCATCCAAGGAAATGGACACGACACCGGAATGCCCTTCAAAGTTGGGATCCCATGACCACGTCCCGCTGCAAGTGGACAAGGCCTGTGAGAGCTGAGTCAGAGATGGCAACTCGGTGACAAAAATACCGTTTAGCCGGTATAGTGTGAACGAATTAAATTCTGTATTCTGTGTTGGCAGAGTATCTGAATAAGCTATAGAAAGAGATGTGAGCAAATGCAAGAATCTATCACGAGCGGTCTCAACTCACATAAACATTGCTCAACCTCAGCTCATAGAACTCTAGATGTAGCTAGTCGAAGGATTGCTTTTGAGCACTATCCAACAAACGCAGGGATAGAGGAAGATGTGTCTGCACATCCTTACAACAACGGAGTCAAGGTGAAAGCAAAGGCCCAAGCTTCAACGACGCGACTTGGCACGCAAGCGTGACCAAACAAATATCATGCCCAAAAAGGTAAACGTGAAAAGGAGTTGTTTTCATGCGAAACTCACTGAGTTCGAAGCAGAGACAGAAAAATTCACTTCTTCCAAGGAACAGGGAAATTGAGAAATTTTTCTAATCTTGTAACATTTACAAAGAATTTTAGTCCCTAGACGTCATTCAATCAGATTGGACTCCATTCTGCCACTAGTACTACATCTTCTGAACCGGAAGTTGTCCAGGATTCGGTATATTAATATCAGGGACCCTAGGTAAGCAACTGACAGATATCTGGCAGTGGTATCCTCTACATTAACCTTCAAAGGGTAAAGAGATATAAGCAGACAATTTGGAGTATTGATTGCCCCAGTGTGTACCTTGTGTGTACCAGCTGGCAGCTGAAAGTTGGATATTGCATTGGCGTCAAATTCCAACCAGCCAAAAAGCTCCATTGGATTTTTTTAGGAAATGAACATTGGATGTAAGGCTCAAAATGTCGGCTTCGCTATTCCAAAATCCACGGAATAAATAAATGCAAAAGTTATTTCGCTGGGAGCAGGATTTGAACCTACGCGGTGAAACACCAAGTGATAATTTGAGAGAATTTTCAAGGCCTCATTCAAATCACTCGCCTTAACGACTCGGCCATCCCAGCATACCCGAGAAATATTTTTCTGCTTTAACACTTCGCTGCGCCGTTTGTCAAGGTAGCTCTGCTACTTTCCTTTCCAGTTCCCAGATTCAACACCAGGTTTGTTGGATGTGTCGAGCGTCTATTAGGTCACTCTAATCAATCAGCTACCACATATTCTGCATCTTAATGTTACAAATGTTGGGTACAAAACTAGTACAAAAAATTGACGAGACCCCTGGTCTCGCTAGCAATGGTAATGAATGGATGAAGATGAACAAGAGGAAAGAATCAAGAAAAGTGTTCGAGATCTGAAAAAGGCTGTCCTTCATAGGTTGACGTACACGCCCGCATCTCTCCTCCTCTTCGTCATGGCTATGAGAATCGTAGAATGTACATATCAGTATGGGTTCAGCGAAGAACTGATAATTTAGACGAACCTGCAATGATGGCACTTCCCACACCACTTCCGTCTTCAGCGTGGTAAGTGACAATATTTCTGTTAAAATGTGAGCCCTAATGAACTAAAAGCAGGCGAAGACCGGGACTGACCGCCCTCTCTCGCCAAAGATATCCACCAAGCCTTCGTGAATCCTTTCCGCAAAACCAGGATATTTCTATGCCGAAAACAGTCGATCTGAGTGACCTTGACTTTGCGTAGAGAGAAAGAGATAAACATACGTTGTACAAGGACCCATCGGCACCAACCGAGCACCCCTCGTCTAGGTACCCCTTCTTGCTCACGATGGCCGCAATACCGCATGCACTTAATCTTGCCGCACGTCTGCCAATCAACTTCGCGAGCGCCCGGAAAAATTGCCGTTCGGCTAGTGTTGTCTCAACGGCAAAGAAGTGAGAAAAGATCCCAATAATCATGAGGAGCTCGTCTGTTGGATCGCTAGACATAAAGCTCAGAAAGGCAGGAACGGAATGAAATTATAGGTTACGTACCTCTCCATCAGGGACAGAAAAGCTGTCTCGAAGACGTAGGGACTTTCTAGCTTGTAAGTATTCTGCCCAAGGAATAGAACACCCTCGTCGATGAGCTCGCAAATTACCAGCCGTAGGATCTCGCCGAGGTAACGTCCTGAAATTAATTTCTGGGAACTCGATTTCAATGGGGGACAGTAACCAATAAAGAATATAAACCAACCTCAAACGCCTGTTCACCGGGTTTATTCGATGTCTCGTCTACAATGATGTCATACTTAGTGCGCGGAAGATGTTCGTGTTCAAACGAATCAAACGCTCCCTATAATGAAGAGGATAAATGAAAAGTTAAAGAAAACTCGCGAAACAGCGTACCCATTCGCAGTTGATCGCCATCTGTGCTTTCGGGTCGATATTCAGGTAGTTAATCTTTGGAATATCCTTGATATCTTCCATATACGCTGCATTGCATCCAGTTCCAAAAATACAGGCGATTCTCGTCGTTGGATTGACATAATGAGACGCGATGAGGGTTCCCGTCGTATCATTGATGAGTGCCGTAAGTTCCACGGGAAGTTGCTAGGCCAAATATAAAACGGATATTTCGGGAGTGCAGAAGAAAACCACGTACATATTTCTCTAGCGATTTACGGAACATAATTGCTACATCTTTTCCTTCAGTATTTGCTGCTCCGAAGCCTTTTGTCCAGCGAATAAGGACGCCTTGGTCGATTCGTTCTTGACTTTAAACGAATCAACTGCGGTGTCTAGAATGGGGAAGTGGAATGCTCACGAGCAAGGGTACGAGAACTTTCATGTCACAAGAATGAGTCCCGCGTCTGAAACAAATTGAAACCACTCACAGTGAATCCCAGTGGAAGCTTTTCGCCATCCTTCAGTTGCGTATTTCGCTCCACCGATAAGCTCGTGTCAATGAAGGTTTTGAGACACTCCGCACAAAAGTCGAATAATTTCTGTCCATCATCTTGCTTCTGATCTTCCGTAAGACGGTATTTCGATTGTGTGATCTCGAATTTCCCTTCTCCTTGTATTGTGACGAGGCAAACGCGAAGGTTCGTTCCACCTGCAAATAATCGGAAGCCGTAGGCACTGCGGATACAAGAATTACACGTGAATTGAACTAACCAAGATCAACGGCAATATAGTCCCCTTGTTCTTCACCAGTTGGCCATCCGAAGACAAAGGTGGGTATCATAGGCTATTATAGAATGTAGATTAACGATGTGTCGCTTAATCGCCAAGGAGCGGAAGCATTTAGAGGTAGAAATTGTAGCGATACGCACCACGACTTGTCCTGATTGTTCCAACCCAACTTCGAGCGTATCCTTGAAGGCCTCGACAATCATGCGCATCCGCTGCGGCGTAAGAGTGAATCTGCCCGCTGATCAGTTATTCCCGGACGACTCGGAGCATGCTATTGCACAAGACAACTCACAGGCTCTCGAACCTCCGCAAATGATCGGCCATAGTCCTACCAATCGTGAAATACAAACCAGGAGATGGACATCGATCTCACAGAGCCCTGACATAAATCAACGCGACGCACTTCTTGGTTGCATGAGGTAGATCTTCCTCATCGTGAGTCCTGGTGTGGATCGCAAGCGTTTGACCTGTTGGTAGAGTGACACTCCCACTTCCGCGCCTTGAGAGAACCATTGTGGGGGATGCAAAGGGCCAACGTTGTCGTAAGTGTAGTGGTGGTGGTGGTTCGAGAAAGAAATGACGGTGGAGTATTCGAATTACGGCTCACGATGAGCTCGGCACTCATACTCCATTAGGAACCGTGGGAACGGAATGGAAAATGTTAAGCTGGTCGTGGGCCGCTTTCTGCTCATCGTCTCCGTCATCGTCCGCCATGATTGGCCTCAAAAGTACGCTCAATGTATGGAATTTCAATTTTATCTGGAGTCGAGATTAACGAAAGTCTGTTTCTAGTGCATAGACAACTCAGGAGCTCTCATCGTCGAGTGCGTTAACATCCTGAAGAACAAAGTCACCAACGGGTGGGGCTCCGTCGGGGATGAGATCGTTGTCGTGGTACAGCGAGCACGCCCTATATCGGCAGCTGCCCAGGCATCCGTAAATGCTGTCAAAGTCCGTCGCGGAGACGTCCGACGCGCTGTCATTGTGCGCACGCGAAAGCCTGTGCGGAGACCAGACGGCACATACGTGCGGTTCGACGACAATGCCGCGGTGCTGCTGAACAACAAGAAGGAGATGCTTGGAACGCGTATTGGTGGTATTGTTAGCGCCGATTTGCGGCTGAAGGGGTGGGGGAAGATCGTTAGTTTGGCTCCTAGGGTGAGTCCTCTCTTCTGACTCGTCTGCTCTTGCTGATTGTGATGACAGGTCGTTTAATCATTACCATGTTCATTATTTCCGAGAACCACTTTCAACTTCGTATAAACGTGCTTTGCGCGTAAAAATACCTTCATGGATTCCATCATGCGCAGCGCACCGCCCTATGCGTCATACCCCCCAGCTAAGCTTCTATCTGTTTGACATTGCTCTCCGTGTTGCAACATTACAGTATTTTAGCTTCCTCGTCTCCAAGACTGCCCAAAGCGTTCAGTTCTCTGACGACATTGTGCATGCACCACACAAGATCCCTCCGGGTTCCAATATAGTTTCTGCCAACTATGCCAATCGACCATATGTACTGCTCCCACGGCGCACCCAATGTTTTTCCGAGTGTGTCGTATCTCAGAGGCAGTGGAATGGAGTTCTGCTGGTGGCTTCCTGATTCCGCGATGCTTATTTTCCTCGTACACATGAAGCTCAAGGATTCGTTATTCCTGAGGCGCTGCATTTCGTGTAAGTCATCTTATCTTTTGCTGTCGTTCTCTGATATATGTTCCGCCCGTGTCTTTTTCCCTTTCTTGGTCTTCTGGACACGGAACGTTTGCAGGGCTAATGCACGTTCCAGCGCTTGACGTCGGTTGCTAGGCCTCTCAAAATGACGCCGCTTCATTTCATGTACGGGTTCCGTTGTCTTATCTCATTAAACTCTCTCATATGTGTTCCGCCCGAAGTTTCTCATCTCACTGGTGTTGCATGCACACGACTACTTTTGTTACTGCTAAGCATCCATTCCATACTTCCCGACACTGACATCCTCGTCAAGGGATTCAAATAACATACCGTAGTCGTAAGTCCTTTTTTTGCTACGGTAACTGCCACGGCCTTTCTGATAACGTCCTATTTTCGAAGTGCGTAGTTTAAGGCTATTGTATTGCAAAGTCTCGGCCTATTGAACATGTTCTGAACGCCATATTCAATGTTCATCAGTCTTACGAGTGTAAGTCCCGACAATCAAGGACTCCGCGTCAATTCCCACATACAGACACCGGCTGTTATTTTCGAGTTTGGTCTTGGTCAAACGATCAAGATGCGCGACTTGCCCGAAATCGTCCGTGAAATCAATGGGCATTCTCGGAAACAATCCATACCCAGAACTCGGGAACTTGGAAGGTGCCTGGTAAGTTGGTGTCACAGCTGGGTGCACGTTCCCTTTCTTGTTTTGAACTCTTGGAGCGCATTTAGCTCATTTTGGATCATGACAGTATTGGTGGGCGCGCCTTGCAATGCATGGCGCTAAATCTAGTGGGCTCAGTAACCAGCTCAGGTAGGTCACGTTTGATCGTCATGGCCTGAGATGGCCGCCCCGGAAATCATACCAAGACTTAGGCAGCTGAAGTTGAAAGCCAGAAGAATGGGCTGACTCGAATGCGGATCCGGGTGTTGTTGTCAAAATCCAGTGGAAACTTTCAGTGAGTCAGTTTCTGCTTGCCCACGGTCGTCCATTGATTCCGTCTGGGACAGATCTTCCTGTTGGCTATTTTCATATACCGGCTCGCACTGTGATCAAATCTTCGAGATAACATGTGGGATATTCCGGAAACTACGACCCACACATTTGTATGGAAGGACCCGTCGCGCAAAGGGCGGGGCATACTTACTATCCCAAGCTATTCTAAATCAGGGAAAACACGCTGTTTCAACGAGGCCTGTCGCGAGCTGCCATTTACAGTCTCTTGCGACGGACGTGCTTCTTTCTGAGCGCTCGGTATCTG